AGACATAAACAATCATCATAAATGCCCAAATGGAGATGCTGGAGTGTAGGCAAAACTTTATAAAGTATAAAAGTTATGAACTCAATCTAAAAAAAATGAAAAATTGGAGCCAACTCCTTTTTAGTGCTAATGACTCAAGTTCATACATACTTTCTCAACCTACTGAAGCTCAGAGAGTCAATGCCCCAGCTAGGGTTTGAACATGTGACCTCCCAATCAGAAGAGCCACAGTTATGCCACTTGCCCACAAAGTCTTTAGCTTAGAGCCGGCACCTAATCATTAGGATAAAAATATACCTATAGTTGTGATTGGAACTCCTAGGGCTGGTTCTTTTCAAAATTATAAAGTCCAGCTACTTAGAGTTCACACTCTTGAGTATACAATTATATAGTTCATGTACCAACTGCTTAGAAGACTAGATACCCTCCCGTCTTTCTTGAAGATTTACTTAGAATAATAATTTTGTCATAGACTTTCGTAGCCTTTCCTCCGGAATATTGAATCTACTCGATTCAGTTTTGGAAAGAAAAAAATGCAGTCATCTAAACAGGCAATAGAAATAACACAAATTAACTGGTGAATTGGATTGTGTATTACAACTGGACTCTTAGAAGTGTACTTTGTGCTAGAGGATTTGTTGCGAGATTTCCTGAGATGCAATCACTTGTTAACTGCATAGTTGAATATTGTGATTCTATTAAAATAGTTATAAATAAGGCCATTGGTTTCAAGGGTTGCTCAAGACTTTAGAGTGTATTCTAATGGTCATGAATGACTATTCATAATCAAGTTACAACAGGACCCTGAGAGGTGCATTGTGCTAGAGATCTGTTAGCGGATTTCTTGAGATGCAATCGAGTGTTTAAACATAAACATCTGTTTGATCATAGAATCGTGTTCGTTAACGGATTTGTGAGGTAATTCCTCCACAGCATAAAGAGAGATGTTTCTAATTAGAATCATCTAGTTTCACCTATTCGTTTCGGTGAACAAAAAGAGCAGAAACCATAGTTGTAATATTCCAATATTAGCCAACACCCAATGGATTTCTACAAGATTGGCTTAACAAGTCCCACATGATTATAGTTCTTGGTTAAATGCCCTACAACGAAAAAGGAAGAAGGGGAGATAAAGAGCAAGGCATACGCTTTAGCAAAACGACGCTTCCGGCCACAATTTGGGAGATGATTTGCTTGTGCCATATGGACACCGGGAAATAGGGGCGCGTGTCGTCACCCACCAGGACGTCCGTCCTTATCACTTCTCTTTCTCCGTTTTTTGTCAAGATCTTGTACTGCACGGTGCCAATACGTACATATGAGTACAAACTACTACTGTAATAATTTCAGCATGACATTTCGAGAGTAGTAGGAAATTGTGGAATAGGGTAGCACCTGAATGGGGGTTGATCGGTGAACGAAGACGACGAGTTGCACGTAGCCGTCGATGTGCGCAGATGCGTTTGAAAGGTCAATTAGAGGGCCGTAGTTCACGATTGCGGCCATCTGCGCATAGGCTTTTTCTGGTACGTACAATTGTACATGCTGGTTTAGGCAGGGAGCATGGTAGGATATGGGACGGGATTATGCCCGTACCAGTACCATAACTTATAACTTTCTGTTCGGTATGGGATTTAATATTTTACCGTTATCGATCTCAAAATATTGGTACGGTACGGTTCGGGAAAAAATAATGTCGGTACGGGATTTTTTTAAACAAGCAAGGTATAATACACAATTGGTAATACAAATAGTAGTAGAAACATTTGTCTTAAATAGAAAAACTGTAAATGTAAATAGCAGCAGTGGTACAAAAGATTAAAAAAAACATTACAAAAGCAAAAGTAGCATTACAAAAGCAGTAACTTCAAAAAAAGCAAAAATAAGCATTGTAGAGGAGAACTAGCCAAAGGAAATGTTCTGTTACATTATTGAGGCCCCACAAAAACATTGTGGTGACAAGTTTCTTTTCTTCAGCATTACAGAAAGCAGAAGCAATCACCCCTACATGCAGCAGAGTCCTTGAACCTATACAAGCAATTAGTAAAGCAAACACATGATAAGTAGATTTAAATATTTAATGTAAACTAAGTAGGGAAGATATACCATATTACCATTTCAATAATCATGAAGGTATTCTTCCAAATGCTTTGGAATGTTTGCAAATTCATCTACAAAAAAATTAAAATGTAACCTTAAATTTTAATATATAATTAATAAATATTAATAATATATGTAAAAACGTACCCTTTTCAATCTCTTCAAGTTTCTTCTTATACTCATCCAATGCAATGTCAGGTTGATTTTGAATATCTATTGGGTTTGATCTTAACCAATCTTGAGAACATATTAAAGCTTCGACGGTTCTTGGGTTAAGAGAACTCCTAAATGTATTAAAGCTTCGACGGTTCTTGGGTTAAGAGAACTCCTAAATGGATCTATAACTCTTCCTCCAGTACTAAATGCTGACTCAGAAGCCACAGTAGAAATTGGCATTCCTAGCACACTTTTTGCAATTTGAGAAAGAATTGGATACTTGAGTGAGTTCGATTTCCACCAGGATAATATATCATAGTCATCACCAACCGATTGTAAAACACCCTCAGACAAGTTGTCTAGGGCTCCGTTTGGAAAATGGCATTTCAGCTCAAAATTGGCTTCTTTGACTATATAATAGTCAAACAACTAATTTAAGTATTTGGATAATGGCTTCTTTGTTTAGCAGATTGGTCAGCCAAGATTAGAAATGCCAAAGAAGAGGAGCGTTTGTGTTCAGCAGTTCATCATTCTTTTCCGTTAATGCCTTTTTTTCAGTATTTTCCTTTAAATAAGTATTTTTCTATAAATATATGTAAGTTTAATATATATATATATATATATATATATATATATATATATTTTGTACTAAGAATCATTTACACAAATAAAATGCATGGGTATACATCTCAAGCTTGTTTTCTTTCAAATAATATGTCATCAAGATATAATCAGAAAAGTTAGCAGTAGGGGAAAAAAGAAGAAAAACTTATGCATGTTTTCTATTTAAAAAAAAACAATGCAGGGACTCAGCAAAAAATAAAAATAAAAATAATGATATACAGTGCATCATATCATTCAGATCCTTGCTACTGAAGTTCATCCACTTTGACCTCATATTGCTCCCCAGAAGAAAGAATCTTAACACACACCATCCCTCTTTGCCACTCATCACTCCCAACTAAGATCAGCCTGCTCGCATTCATCCGGGCAGCCCTTTTGAACACCCATTTAAGCGGTTTGTTTTCCAAAACCAGATCGACGGTCTGCCCTTTCTCCCGAAGTATGGTTGCAACAGAAGAAGCGGTGCCTTGGAGATTGGGGTCTAGAGAGCAGACGATGTCGTCTACTTGCATACTCAATTCTGGCACAAGCCCCTTCTCCTTTAGAAGCTCAACTATGACTGCATCACCGAATCCAAAGCCACAAGCTGGAATATCATCTCCTCCAAAAGTAGAGAGCAAGCTATCATATCGCCCACCACCACATATAGCTCGCAAATTCCCGGCTCTATCAAATCCCTCAAACACGATGCCGGTATAATAGGCTAGTCCGCGCACAATTGATGCATCAAACTGAATCCACTCAGAATAGCCATACTTCTCGGCCAATGAAAATAGTTGCTTCAAATCAGCAAGTGCTTCTGTAGCCGTCCCAAGCTTCTCTTCCAATTTTTCCAATGACTTCACAGAGAGGACTTGCAATATCTCTTCAATTGCCACATCCGACAGCTCAGCGGATTTAAGTTCTTTCTTAATGTCATCGATAGGCATCTATTCAATATATATATATATATGTGTGTGTGTGTGTGTGTGTATGTATAGGAACCGGTTTCTGTGAGAATGACCCTGCATGAAAGAAATAAGAATGAATGATATATGTTGATCTAATACATTTAACGGCCAGATTTGTTCTAAAATGGTGCTACGTGTCTAGGTTTAATAAGGCAAGCAATTATTGCATTAATTTTATATCAAAGGCTAATAAACTCAAAGGGCATTGATGGAAAATTCTAATCCACTAAAAAAGGTAATGAAGTGACGCATCAATCAAACCCCCACATTACCTCAATTACCAAGTGCAATAGAACTCTTTAGAGATTCTTTTTTATTTCAAATCCATTGGCTGAAAATAAAAAATGAATATGATACAGGAAATTATATTTAGGGGGTGTATTCAATCAGGATTCTGATGGATTTTTTTGTATTTCAAAAGTCTGTAGGTATTCAATTCAGATTTGAAAAAGTCATTTAAAATCTGAGTGTATTCAATTCAGATTTTTACAAATCCTTCTAAATATGATGGTATTCAAAAGTTGATAGATTTTTAAAGATTTTTAATAATGTAGATTTTGATGGATTTTCTTGCCTACAAATCCATGCTCCAAATCCGACCAACATCCCAGGGATTTGCAGACTTCTCCTTTTCTTCCAACTAATCCACATTTCACGCAACCAAGACTTATCTTCTCCTTCTATTTGTGCAGCGGAAACACCAAGATACACAGTGATGGTCGGCGATGATGATTGAATCCATGGGCAAATCAGAATTTGACGAAGGGCAATTGGGATTAAAATTGATTTTGCCATGAATTTTAACCAGCAATATTAGTGACGAAAGGAAGAGATTGTGACGATTAATATAGAATCACCTAAAAATTACTGAACCATGGATTTTATATACCGATGGAGTCTATGACGATGATGAAAAAGTGACGCAGACATCCCTGGCCGATGATGAAGGGCGATTGTGATGCAGATGAAGACACACCAAGACTCCGATGGATACGGAGTCCTGACAGCATATTGCCATGGATTTTAACCAACAATTGAATACGGAGTCCTGGCCGATGGAGTCTATGACGATGATGAATAAGTGATGCAGACTTCCAAAATCCAAGTAAATCAATTAAAAAGTAGGTCAAACTTTGTATGGAGTCTATGGATTTCTAAATCCTTCAACTTTTTTAAGTTCAAAACAATCTTAGAAAATCCGGATTGAATACACCCCCCTTAATGTCACCTGTTTGGATTTATCTGCAAATCTCGATCAAATGGAATTGCACTATGATGGTCAATATATGCACTATGGTCTATCAGAAATGGATATTAGTTTTTTTTAATTTTTCATTATTCCACAAGTAATTAGTCTTTAAAAATCAATTTAAATTCTACATAATATGCACTTCAAAAACTTTCAGATGCATTGAATGTTTTATATAATGCATTAAAAAAGCATACTGTCTCAGTTCTCAAAGTAAGGAATTGAAAAAAGTTAAGAATGCATTGTACTTAGAACAAGTGTAATATAGATTTGAGAAATAATTTGCCTATGCGGGATTCGAACCCACATCCGTAATGCATACCGCTCTACCATTTGAGCTAATAGGCAATGATTGATTTTTTTCAAAGTGACTCATCTTGCACTTAAACCCATTAAATACACATTTTGATTTTTTTTTAAATTACTATCATTCAATGTATATCTAACTCATATTCAAATGTACTAGAGAGTAGAGAATATTTCAAATGCATCATCGTTTGCAGAATATTCACTATTTAGAATATACATATGCATTATATTTATGTTAAAAAATTCACTATCAGGTGCATTATATTGAGAAAAATTACTAGCCTTACATTGATTCTCTTCTCATGTAAATGCATTATTTTAACTCTGATAATGCTTAATAACTCCAAAACAGAAAACTTTAGATACACTTTTAAATCTAGAAAAACAATCGATGGCATTTTTTTGAGAAAAAATCCTAATGATGACAATAATATAGATAGAATCTTGATCACTAATAATGCATCTTAATCACGACATAAAGTGAACTAAAAAAATTGGTGGGTGTGCAGTACCAATAACATAGAATGCATTACAAAGCATTTAATTACTGATATTACTACACTAAGATCTAAATATCAAAATGGTATTTTATAAATAAAATAGACCACACCCAAAAAATAATAAAACCACATACATAAAGAAAGGGTAAAAATCACATCATAGGTATAATTAATAAAAAATATGAATGTAGGATCAAAATTAAACATCTGATAATTGAAATTACATCCACATGGCATTGGTTGATTAATCAACAGTGAAAAACCAAATCTAACTGCATATGTGATTCTTGCCTATAAAAGATAAGGCAATAAAGAATCAAGATTGTAATTAAAATTGTGATAATTCAATCTACAACCACAAAGAATATGTTTATTATCTAAAAGTGGGCAATTAAATAATAAAAAATGAACTTGATTCCATATGTCATTCTTACCGGATGAAGAAGAAAACAACAAGGAATTCACGCGAAGAGTTTGGTGCCTCCTACTAAGAGAGAATACAGCACAAATTGTAAAATTTAAGAGCTCATATCAACAAGGAAACATAAAATTTGATTTAGGGGATCGTGTGAGAAGAATCCAAATTGGAGAAGGAGAGATCTTCAATCGCTGATTTTGCGGAGAGTAATGGCTGGATTGAGAATAAGGAACGAAAAAGATTGAGAAAATACATACATGCCCCTATTTTATGCGGATAATAAAAGGGTGTAAAGCCTTCATTGAACACCCCACAATCATTCTTATTTCTTTAATAAGATCTCATTCTCACCAGAATCAAAACATATATATATATATATATATATATATATATATATAGCGTCTAAAATGACATGAGTTACTTATACACTAGTTGCTTACATCAGTTTTTTTATGGTACCTACGGTGCCCCGTTTGTGAAAATGACAGTTCCTACCCTCCCTAAACCCCCCACCCCAGCTCAACCCTTTCCCCCCACCCCTCCCTACCAGGCAGTATACTGCCATGGTAGGGAGTGGGGGTGAGAGGGGTGGGGGAGGCAAGGGTGGGGCTGGGGTAGGGGGTTTAGGGGGAGGGTTAGGGGGGTAGGAACCGTCATTTTCATAAACGGGACACCGTAGGTACTCTCTATGTAAGCAAATGACACTAGTAACACTGGTGTAATTTTAGACTTACTCATATATATATTTTTTTTTTATTAAAGAAGAGAATTTTATTAATAGAAAAAAGGAAAGGAGTACAAAGGGTGGCTGGCCAACACCCCAAACCGGCCAATCTAAAGGAAAGAAGTACAATAATACATCTGCAAAATCACACAATAAAACAAGGGAGCATGGCTGGAAATTATCCAAGGGAGCAAAGACATCCTGATCCCTGCATACGTCCTGTCCAGTGAACCTCTAGGAAACAGCACTGCAGATACATAATGAACCCAATAGCATTATATCCCTTTCTTCAGCCACCTTTATGACTGTTTCGTCCCCCTCTCCTTGTCAAAGACACTTACCATTGAAAGTACATCAGCCCATACAGAGCAGAAAAACAGTTATCCACCACTCTTGATCTAAAAGGACATACCAAGATTCCAAGTCCGCATAGCAAAACGAATTCCCAATCAAAGAGGAGACCAGTGTTCCATAACCACATAAGAACAGTGCTATGAAAAAATCCAGCAGCTAGAGGCGACCAGACTTACTCATATATATATATATATATATATATATATATATATATATATATATATATATATATATATATATATATATATATATATATATATATATACTCCGTCCCACTCTCTTTATCCACTTATCTTTTGGCACACCATCCAATGCACTTCTTTAATCCATTTTATCTTGTAATTTGTATATTAAAAAATTATAGAAATTATATATTAATAATCTATATGTTAAGACAAATCAAACAAGATCACACATTACTATATTTAGGCTTACACATTGAGAGAATTTGATGAGTCAAAGTGCTTAGATGAACAATTCCAAAAGTCAAATGTGAACAAAGAGAGTGGGACGGAGGTAGTATATATATATATATATATATATATATATATATATATATATATATTATTCGGTAATATGTATATTGAAACATATATATAATTAATTACTAACTAATATTATTTTGTCCAATATATTTATGAACAACTTTATTTCACCCATAAATAATATTTCTAAGTTTTATAAAGTTCATTTTTGAGTTTTCAAAATTTATTTTAGACTTATTGGAATTAAATCTAAACAAATACAATTAACTCAAAAATTTGAAATAAACAATTTCGAAAATTACAATATAAATTTACTAAGCATAAAATGATTTTTTTCAGGTCCAATTAAATTATTTTAACAATTTCAAAATATATATTAATATATATTTTTGAAATTTCCTATTATATATATATATATAAAATATATATTTACGGCACAAATAAATAATGAATATTTTATTTATTAGTTTATTTAAGTCCAATATTTATTTCAAGACTATAATAAATTATTGTACCAATTTCCGAACTTTAATTATTACTAAGTGAAAATTTTGACATTTTAAAATAAAAAGTCAAACTTAAAACTATAGTTTTGTACGTTGGCTTCGATACCACTGAAAGGTAACAATGCAAGGATAGGTAGCGGAATATAAAAATTTTAACATCCTTACATGATTATCTTGCTCAGAATCACGTACTAAAACTTATAATAATTAAGAAATTTATATCTTTCTCTAGAAGCGGTAAAAACGAAGAAGTCGTGGGAAGAGCGTTAAAAGTGCAAACGTAACCGTTCAAGCGTCCGGTCTCTAACTTTGACACACAAACAACGCCGGAGTCTAGCACAATCTTTATTCTAGTAAAGATTATAGTTGTATAAAATATAAAGATTAAAATTGGGATAATAAAAATCTTGTATATTTCTATAGAAAATATTTCTAATAATATTTAGAAAATATTATAGATATTTTCTATACACAAAATGATATTAATGGAACACAAAATATATTTTTTCTTTCTGTAGAATATTGATGGCCGAACAAAGGAAAAAAAACTACACCTTGATAATGTGGCTAATGATGTGGAGTATATAAATAAAACAAAGAAGTGGAAATTAATTTTTGTCGTTAGCTAAATGACAAATCCATTAGCCCACTCAAAAATCAATCAAGGAAATTTTGATTCTTCAAAATCCCATTTGGCCGAAAATATGATTCTGATTGTGAAAGGATTTTTAAAAATTTTCTCCACTTAAATGTTCAAAGTGTTTATTATTTGACATCAAAAATTAATAGAAAATGAGTTTTAAGTAAAAAATACCAATATCATTTTTTTAAGCAAGTATACAAATATACTTTAAATAGTTTATGTCACAATAATTATTTTCATAATTAAAATGACAAACCAAAATAAAATATTTAATATATATATATATATATATATATATATATAATATTACAAAATATTTTATTTTACTATTTTACAAATATGCAAATTACTTATTATCTCATTATTTAATTATATTCCTTATATTGTCCAAAGTGTGTGACTCCTATAGGCACTTATAAAGTTGGCCATAGCATGAGCTCTACACCAATACTATAAGCAATAAGCGGTATCTAGAAACACATTATTGCTCGCTAATTATAAGTTAAGACATTTGCACCGTCAAAACCTTTTAACGACTCAGACTCCTTGTAACTGTATCCCTTTGTTTCAATATCTATATTTAATGCAAGGGACTATAAAAATCCATCTTGTATCCATTAAGCCATTAACTGATTTATCAAGTATGACTGATAGGAATAGACGTCATAAAAGCATCTTAGCATGTCCATGCAATTTCCTCAGTCATAACTTACCAGTGGGCCTTAAAAGACATTAATCTCTTAAAAAGAGTAGTGACAAATCCTATGTACGTAATCTACGTTTCTGAATACGCGATGCGGCATACCTTAGACAAAGCCTGTATACCATCCTTATTTTATATGGCTTAGGACAATGCATCAAAGCTGCGGGTTCACATATGCAGAAAACGTAATACTTCAAGTCGAAGGATAGTTACATTCGTGGTGGCGCTAAATATTCTTAGAGCATGAACTAAAAGTTCAAGCAACATCTTTAGGGTGAGTCAGTCCGGCATCCTATTATCTCTAGATAATATCTGCCCATGTGCGGATGCGAACACTCTGTCATTGACTATGAGACTAAGTCAAACATCCAACACATGCTAGTCTCACATGCATTAACGATATCCTATTATTGTTAATACTCGACTATGGACATTCAGATAAATATTTATTTCAAGATGTTAGTCTCATCAGCAAAAAAACACTATCTGATAAACATCTTTAAATATAAATCTAGGAATATAATATTTGTTTACATTAGCATGAGATATGTAAACATATTATATCTGCCTATATATGATAGAATAACAATAAAACAGTTGGCCATCAGGGCACAACTCCAACACAATAATATCAATAATATCAAACAATTCATAAATAAAACCTACATTCCTCAATTACCAAATTTACATCACTCTTAACGTAGGCATTTATGCCACGTAATCTTTATACAAGGTTCATTAATGAGGTTGAGGTCAATTCTTTATTCTTTCTAGAGTCCTTAAATAACCACATCAATGGAAGAACCTGTTCGATATGAATTGAAGTCATCCAATGTCGGCGGGATGGGACCACTTACTCATATCCATGAATAGATCTACGACCCCCGTGCATACACTTTACCCAACTGATCATGCATGCACGCTGGCTCATCACATCACTCGTAATTTCTAACTGTATTCTTATTCTATTTCTCGGTCTACCTACAGTTCATCTAGGTAACTTATCCGTATTCAAGTTCATAATTTGATATTTTCGAATTTATAAAAAACCAAAATAAATTTCATAAACATAAATATTTAACAAATAGCGGCCTAGTATCAGGTATAAACACCTTTCACTTACCATGATGCAACACATAAGATCTCGGAATCAATCCGTGACTTGAATCGGAACAAACACACAAGAAAACAAGCATACAACGGCTGGTCCGGTATCTTTTTACGATACCTTGGTACCGCCTGGCAGTACCTTGGTACTGTCCATACGGTACCCCCTACCGTGCGGGTGTAGGTACTGGCAGCGAGATTCCTTCTACGGCAGTAGCAGCGTATCGCCAGGCAGTACCTAGCTACCGTTTGACGTTAAGAAAATACAAAAACAGCAGAGTTCGATCCAATTCCAAACCATTTAATTCGTATAATGTTTTTAAAGATTATTGACACACAAACCACACAAATTAGAGTAAGAAAAATGTACATGGCCTTCCTCGGTCGATCAATAAATCAATTCCCAAATAAATCGTAATTTAAACATTTATAATCAAACAATTCACATAAATGAATTAACGATTGGCTATGTAAACGAATTAACGTTATCTATGAATTCTACGCTGAACAAACCCACGAACTCATTCTCCCAAAAATTTATCAAATTCCACATAATCAATCGTACAGATTGCAAACGTGAATTTCAAACATATACGAATAATCTAGCGTTAGATGTCCGCGTACTCACCTCAATTAATTAGACGAATGAAACAAAGCGAATCAGCGAAGAAATTCCCGTGAACATGTGGCGATGCAGCGGCGGTGTAATAGAGCAGTGACGATAGTAGCCCAACCGGCGGCGCGGTCCTTAGTTTCTTCGGCTTGATGTCCTTCGATTGGCTCTTTCGCCAAAAGTCCTTTTCACGACTAAGCTCCTGGATGCTTCTTCTTTCTTTTTTTTCCCCGATAGTACTCCGTATGGCTATATATTTATAAAAGGGTGTGGGAGGGGTTTGGGGTAGTTTCTAAGTTCGGTAGGAATAGATTTTTTGGAAAATTAGGTTTTTAGTTTTTATTATTATATTATTAAAACATTTAATTTATATATTGAACTATAACATCTATTTTGGTCATCACGCTCTACACGTAAGTCAAAACTTAACAAATTACATATCGTTGGTCACCATTTTACGAGATCTACCCAAAAACCTAATTTTTAAATAAAACGGTCAATTTTATAAATAGTTCGTATTTTTTTACTCAAAAAATAATACATTTATTTTTATATAAATAACGGCTAAATACTAAGCCTATTTTTAGGGTGTTATAGGGATTTCACCCATCCAAAGAAGAACTCATACGTTGGTTGAGCATGACCCGCTGATCTAGTGGGAACAATCATGAATCCAAAATATTGTAGAAAGTCCTTAGTCTAGAATACATTATAGGCATAGGTTCTTGGTGATCCACCAACCTTGATTAATCGTATCCATAGGTTTGATGAGAATGGAAATGGGCAAGTGTCAAATAAATTATGTGTTGAGCTACATGTGTGATTTATAAGTTGTTGCATAATGTCACATGATTGTTATGAACCGTGAGTTTGCTTATTTGTGTACTTTGACGTTAGATATTTTTTCCTCAGCATCATTGCTGAGAGTGTAGTATATTTATTTGCTACACACAAGTAATCAAAAAAATTACGAACCTAGAGCCGATCCCAGCTGACAATGAGGATGATGAGATGTGGGACAGCGTGGCTGATGATATTGAATTATTCAATATTTCTGAATGACTTGTTGCATTTTTGGGCATGAGTTCCAAGTTGTGTTTGTTTTAAATACGTAAGCTTCCACATTATTTAGTTTTACTCTTATGATGGATTTTAACATGGGAACTATTTGGATATTCTAAATTGTTTTGAAAATACCGTGTGCTCTAGATACCAATTTAGTAGCAACCCGATTCGATAACCTGTGTATTCGAGTTATGCGGGTTATGGTGTTACAATTCTTAGTGTGTGCTTGGATCCTACGACTCCCATAAGATTGATGTGAGCCTTAGCTGTTGTAGGTTAAGAGCAGTGGATAGATGAATATACTAGGATGAATCTTGATTATCCATACATCCATACATTATTTAAAAAGACATGGAGTCAACCTTTGTTTTTCCCGCCCCTACGTTATTACATTAAGAAATGACAATTGTTCACCTAAAATGGTAAGTTGCCGAAAATATAATAATAAATATTTCCTATTTACACCTGTGCTTAACTTTCCTTGCGTTATTGATTTGCAGTATAGAATGGGCAAAAATAACAACTAAAAAGAATCCCTTGTAAGTAGGGTGTCGAACCTCAGGGAAACGTGAGTTAATTTAATTTAAACAAAAGTTTACAAAAGAAGTTGTAAAATATTTTGGTCTTTTTGGTTTTAAAGATAAAATAAAAAGTGTAAAAGAAGAGAGTTCCAAACAACACAAAGTTTTTGATGATAAAAAGTTAGGGGTAGAAATTGGTAAATTAATTGTCCAATATTTTTATAAAAGTTGGATTGTCAATTTATTTTTATATAGAGTGTGTGGGGTTGCAGAAAAGTATTTAGGGACGCTCTCGCAGTTCACCTAAATAATAACCACTCCGAATTTAATACGCCAATGATAAATCCGGAGTAATTATTTAATAACAGTGGCAACCATAATTATTTTATTGTATGTTTACCCAATTTAATGGTGTAAAAATACAACTCAATAATTATGTCCACCCGAAAATCTTCATTCCCGGTTAAAGGTAGAGAAAACATACGGTGTAATTAAAAAGTGTTCTATTTTATGATTATTTCAATTTTAGCTCATATTCCTTTTAACAATTATGTTTATGATTGGGCCCTTAATTAAAAATCACAAACATTTCAAATTTATTTATTTTTAAATAAAACATCTAAGTAAAAATAAAATCAACAATCCATGTTAAAAATATTCAAAACATTAAGATGGACAATTAATTAAACCAACTTCTAACCCCAATGGAATTTAGAAGTTCATAGTTTGAAGCTTAAACAAATAAATATTTATTACAATAATTAAAATATTACAAAATGGAAGATGTGTTCTTGAGCTCCAAATATGATAAATGATGATGAAGATGGAGTAATTTTTATGTGTTTGGATGAAGAAAGTAGTGAGATATTAGTGATGGAGGAGGAGAATTTCGGATTGGAGAGAGGAGAGAAATGGGGGGTTCCAACCTCTTTGAAGAAGAGAAGGGTTGGGTTTTTTTAGATGAATTCGTATATACGGAGTATATACAAACAGTCTCACTTAAAGTTAATACAAGCACAGTAGCGCACATGGAAATGAGGCTGCTTGATGTGCCGCGTGATCCTGTGTTTGATTCCCCCTCCAATGTCGGTGTTTTGTCATTTTTTTCTCTCTCAATCAATGGCCGATTCAAAGCAAGAACATAATTGTTGTCCGCCAGATGGTCAAAGCTCTAGTTCCAGTGTTCCACTACTTTGAAGTCCCCGGTTCGAATCCTAGTTCCAGTGTTCCACTACATCTCTTCCATTTACTTTGGTCCCAAACTTCCATGTTTATTTTCCGTTCTTGAAATTGTTCTCAATGCGTCCAAATGGCCTCAAAATACCTGCAAAACATATAAAACCAAGCATAGAACCGCTCTACACAAATAAAACGGAAAATTGAAATAAAATATAAACATTAAATTCAATTGGGACTCAAAACTCCTTCAAAATATGCTTAAAAAGTGTATAAAATATGTGCATATCAGTTATTAAATGTTCAAAAATGGCAATTATTCACTTAAAATGGTAATTTTTATTACTTTAACAAATGACAATTGTTCACTTAAAAATGGTAAGATGCCGAAAATATAATAATAAATATTTCCTATTTACGCCTATGCTTAATTTTCCTTGCATTATTAAATGCTCAAAAATGGATATTGTTCACTTAAAATGGTAATTTTTATTACTTTAACAAATGGAAATTGTTCACTGAAAATGGTAAGTTGCCGAAAATATAATAATAAATATTTTATATTTACGCCTATGCTTAATTTTCCTTGCATTATTAAATGTTCAAAAAATGGCAATTGTTCACTTAAAATGGTAATTTTTATTACATTAACAAATGACAATTGTTCACTTAAAATTGTAATAATTATTAAAAACCTGCGCATGTGCTTAATTTTTCATGCATTAATACATTTACAAATGGCAAGTTACTTATTACAAATAGTTATTATTATTAGTCTCAAAAATGGGTTAAAAGCTATAATATATACTCTTCCTTTTTTATCACACGGTAATAACCAGTATTAACACGTAATAATTTTAAAAAAAGGAACAAATAATATGACACCATTTATAATTGGTAATTAATTATTAATCTAAAAGATAATTATTATTATTAATCTAAAAAAATTAATCTAATATAATGGTTTAAAAGCTATAATAAACAAACAGTTTTATCACCCGGCATAAACGAACAGTTTTATCACACGGTATAAACATTTTTAAAAGCTATAATAAACGAACGGTTTTATTTATAGTAATTAACGTATTAAAAATTAAAATCTAACATACATTATTAATGTAAGTTTTAAATAAAGGTAATTTCCTTTTTATAAAATATAAAAAGGAATTTGGTGATGCTGTTTATATGGAGTACAGTGTGACTTAATTATAAATATAATTATTATATTTATAGTAATTAACTTATTAAAAATTAAAATCTAACATACATTATTAACGTAAGTTTTAAATAAGGTAATAGCCTATTGTCTATTATACAATTCCAAATCGTAAGTTTTAAATAAAGGTAAGTTAAACAATTGCAAAGCCTAAGATTTAGACAATTCGAAGTAATTAAAAAAGGAAAGTTATACAATTAAACATTAAATTTCATTTAAAAAATAATTATTTTATTCTTACCAAATTTTACTATACAATTACACACGGAGTGCCGCCTCTATCTCTCCCGCCTTGCAGATATATCGCACCGCCTATATCCATCAGGCTAAGATTGTCGCCGGTCATGATGACTATGATTTTTTTTATTAGCTTCCAAATGCTCTATAATTGAGACTGCATCGTAGAAGTTAGAAATACTTCCAACTTATTGTTCAGACCGGGTTGAAGATTGTGGTATGCAATGAAGACATTATTCCCACAAATTGTACAAATAATGTAGTCTATAAAGAAGTGTTTTGAAATTTGTAAAGCATTGACGTTTCTTCCCTTAAAATAACATAATCTCTATATTCTATTGCATCTCATTTTTATCATTGAAAAATGATTTGAATTTAATAACATAATAATGACTTGTGCAACGCATGGGTGTGATACTAGTTGTTAATGATATGATAGGTTTATGTACTTTATCTGTATGATAATGTATGATTGTATATGTTTGTTGTACTACCCTGTTAGTTGATTCGAGCGTTAGATATATTTTCACTCAGTTTTCAGCTCAGCGTGTAATCCTTGTTGTTTTAAGCTACACATAGGTAGGAATAAGCAGAGGTTGGATGAGCAGTTTGGTGGTTAGTGATGCTAGACGACATGGATGGTCTAAAGCTTATTTATGTTAAATTAATTATTCTGTTGAACTTATTTATTTAAATTAGAGCAAATCCTATAAAGGGTCTCCAATTACGGGTGGGTTTTCATATTTAATTCTCAATTTTTGAATATTCCATAAATGATCCTCAATTTTGAAAAGCTATTCCACAATTAGTCCTTTAGGCCAAATATGAGAGAATACTTTTTCTAAAAATAGCCCGTGAAAGACCGATTAGAGACTAAATATGGAAAACCACATTTAACTAGAGACTATCTATGGAATTTACTCTTTAAATAACAAGAACATTTTGGTAAAACTTTTTTGAAGGCTCGCGCAACGTATGATTTATTACTTTGATAAGAGACATGTTTTAAATTATGA